GCCCACACTGTGGGGACCACAACTTTGGAGGCATTGTTGTGAAGGGCCAGCATTTTCAAACATGGGTTCCTACAGTTAGGCTCCTGAGCTTGGATTGAGGTTCCGGACTAACAGAATTTCTGAGGCGCTGAGCGCCTGTAGCTCCCAGTACAGTCAATTCTAGCAAGTTCAGTGTGGTCAGCTAAGCCAGCTGAAGTAGGAAGGTACGGCAGCCCCATGCAGGCTACACAGAGTAACTGAGAAGAGCTTTCATTCTGAGTAAGGTTTGATGTTCCTCTGAGTTGCTCTTTCCTTTTAAAGAAGTGGAAACATTTCCTGGGCCTGGTATCTGTGGCTTTTGTTTAGAAAGGAGTTATCTTACTTGCTGGGGTTGCTGTTCTTTAGCCACTTTGTCCTGGTCTACATTAGGGAGTTATTATGAAATAATTCCCCTTATTTTGAAATAATAAGTGGAGCGTCCACACTACCAAGCCTGTTATTTCGAAATAAGGGGCTGGTTATTTCAAAATTATAACTCCTGCTTTCCACAAGGAATAAAGCTTATTTCAAAACAGTTATTTCAAAATAGTGGCAGTGTGGACGCTCCACTGCTGTTATTTTGAAATAACTACTCCCCAGAGTTATTCAAAGTAATTACTCCCCAGTACTTCCCAGAGTTCTAGGTCGAGGGAGCAGGTCCACATTAAGGAAGCCTGCCTCAGACTAATTTCAAGGCTTCCCTGTAGTGTGGACATGCTATTTCAAAGTAGTTATTTCTCAAGATATTATTTCAAAATAAGTTACTTAGGAATAATTTCCTAGCACAGACATGCCCTTAGAGAGGATCTTCACAGGGCTCCCCTTTATCGCTATGACAGGAAAAAGCTAAGGTTCCACTACTGCCCAGCCTTTTTATGAGAACACAGCACACGGTCTTCGGTGCACTGACTGGGGGTGGGGCAGTGTGGGACTTGCAATTCCAAAAGGATTTTCTGTGCAGACATGATGTCAGGACAAGGCAGGGTAGCTCTATTGAGCAGCTCAGTTCATGCATGAAGGCAGATTGTGCCATTTATACAGAGCATAACCCTGGATAACTGGACATCTCCCTTTAACAAAGTTATCATCTCCTGATCTGCATAGCTAGAAAGCAGCACATGATTCCTGTTCTTGTGCTGAACACACAAATCTCCCAGTAAACATTGAAGATGAGCACTATCATGTTCAGATTCCCTCCAAGAAACTGTGGAGCAAATTTTTCTCTTATTTACATCCGAGAATATCCAGAGCAATGCAGTTGAAATATGACTGTTTTCTAAGGATGTTTCTGTCTGTCTATTCTAGGGACCTACTGGACTGAGCACAGCAATGGGAGCTGTTGTATTTTAGTCCCACCTCTGCCACCTACTGGCTTCAATGCTACATTGGGAGTTAGATTTTGTAACCTCCTATGAAGTAGGCAAACATCACTACCCGCAATTTACAACAGGGGAATATAAACTGAAGCTCTCAAATGATGAAAATATTGTCCAAGTTCACACAATAAGTCAATGTCAGTCACAGAGAACTCAGAGGCTGTACAACATCCAGGCACAAAGGGAAGGAAAGAGAGAAGGATAGAAAGAATCAGGAAGGAGGGAAATTTGGGAGAAGCACAGGGAACAGGAGGGGATAGTAGGGAAAATGGGAACTGTCGTCTAGGTAGGGGCTAGGCTGTACAGAGCCCTGAAGCTGAGGATCAGCGGCTTATAATAGGAACACTCATTTTAAGCTTAAAGGATGGAATGAGAACAGGCAACAGATAAGGATAAACAAGGCAAAAGTGTCTATGCTTGCTATGTGGTGCCTTTCAGTCCCTGTATGTCTGAAAGTCCAGTTCTCTGAAAATGAACTGGTCAAATGCCTGCATGGGCTTTAGCAGGTTTTGTCTCTCAAGAGATTTCCAAATCAAATGTGTTCAGTTTAATTTTTTTTCTTAATGGTAAGCCCGGCAAACTCAACCTGAGAACTAAGTGTCAAGCTGAGAACTTTTTAACTCCTGCGTCAGCCCCAATAATATAGATTTAACAAATGGAACAACAAAAAGCTAACGAGAATTAGAAAAGGTGGCACAAGACAGGGAGGCTTAGAAAGAAACTGTTGATGGCCTATGCTCCCATAGGAGTTAAGGGCAAAGAAGAAGAAGAAATGGATCATAATTAACCATCCCATTGATGATCTAAAAGCCAGAAGAGAATACAATTCCCTGTCCAATAGCTTTGTTGACTAGTAGGAATAACTTATTTTGTCATCATTGGAGTAATCAGTTATGTTTCTGAATATGGTCAGGGCACAGACCTGCTCGGCACAAAGGTGCCTGTTATATACTGGGCCTTTTCTAACTATAACTATACTTTCAACTTTTTGTTCTTTTAAGAGACTTGCTATTTTATTTTAAAATTAAATGAATTTTTCATTAAAAACAGTATATTTCAGAGAAACAGAGTTCAATTATCAGATTTATGCATTCATAGTACATCCATAAACAGTAATAATCTCTTGTCTACCTCTTGATATATCAATTAAATTTTCACATTTTACTTTGATGTTGTTTTTAGTGGGTTATTTTCCACAGAAAGTTAGTAGGAACAAGGCTTATCTACTTTTCACCAGTAAAATTGTTATAGTAGCACCAGCAAAGCAAATTTAAGTGTTGGTCTCCAGAAAAAATAAAATTGTTCAGAAGCATTCAGTCTTTCTCCACCAGGGGGCAATATTTTATCACTTCCACTCTACACTGTAGTAAAGAGAATAAAAATGCTACAGAAAAAAGCGTGATGTGATCCAAAATGCTTATTCTTTTATGTTTTTTGCCTAACTCCTTCCTTTGCTTCCCCTAGTCCTCATACTTCACAAATCTTTTCTTCTGCAAAAACAAATCTCTGGCCAGCTCTGTCCTAGACACTTTTTTTCTATACAGAAATGTTGGCAAGAAAAGTGCGGGTCTTGGGGTTTTTTTTTGTATTTTTTTTAACATTTCTATACTGGCAAAATCTCTAGTGAAGACAGATTTATATAGGTTGAACCTCTCTAGTCTGGCACCCTCAGGACCTGACTGGTGCCAAAACAGAGAATTTGTCGAACCATTGGAGATCAAATTGTCTAGCAGCATTATCAACACTTCCACTGCTTACTGGACTCTTAGGGTGTGTCTAGACTACATCCCTCATTTTTTTTAGGAGTACAGGATCTTTCAAAAAAGGGTTTTATTTTTGAAAGATCCCCGTCTAAACTGCTGGATTTTTTTTTTCGAAAAAGCCCCGTTTCGAAAAAAAGCAGCAGCCGCCATTATGCAAATGAAGCATGGGAAATTCAAGTCCCCGCTTCATTTGCAATATCAACATGCCTAATTTACATCCCTTTCTTGAAAAAGGGATGTAGTCTAGACACACCCTAAGAGTCCAGTAAACATGTATATGCAACCGCACTGAAGTTGCAGCCCTCGGCATGAGCTGTATCATTGTGGCCCCAGCTTCCAAAGTTGAGTAGCCCTGCTCTAGAATGTCTTGAACTCGTTGATAGAGTGAATGGACCATCATGACTTCAGTTGCAGAGTTCTCAGCACTTTGGAAATTCTGCCCCTTTCCCATAGATGTCTTAACATGGATTTAGGCAACTAAGTTGAAATAACCAAGTTCCCAAATGGTCACCTGACTCTTTAATCCAGGTAGAGAGCAAGTCCAATAGGGTCTATTTCAGACAGTCACTGACTAGATGTTATTGTGGGGCAAGCTGCTTTTCCATTGACTGCAGGCCTTGGAATCTCATAACTCACAGGACCAAATGTAAAGGTTATGCATAAGGAGATGTATGTTAAAAAATTAGTAAGAGGGCCAAGGAGTGGACAAGGAGACACAGTTGCTGTAACTCCAATTACAAGAAGCCAGAAGGAGATGTACATTAAATGAGAGGATGGTTTACATGTACATATACCTTCCTATGGCTGCCTTTTAGTTGCGGCACTCCTCTGGCCCCTCAGTTCAGACTCAGTGATATGAATTCAGAGGGCAGGTATAAGTTACATAACTTACATGGTACTGAGTAATTATAAAAACTAGAGTCTATTCTGATGTAAGCTACAGTTAGGGAGCTGACTGTCTCATATCCTCTCTGTCCTATGCCCTGTAGACTACAGCCTCTCCGCCTCCTTGCAGCCAATCTTTCTCCCTCTACTTGCCTGCCATGTTCCCCTTTTAAGAAGGTCCCTCCTTAGGGAGGGTGCCCAGAAGCTGCCGAGGGGAGGATCTTCTTGGGCCAATACCGTTATTTCCATTTTCACAGTCCAAGACTCACACCTGAGACCAACAGGTCTGTCATAGGAACCATAATCATGGCAAAATCCAGAACAAACCATATATAAATGGCCTGCCAGGCCCAGAAAGCATCATATCTGCCTCTTTGTGGTAGGGTTGGAGCATTCCACTAGAGCTTGGACTTTTTCCTATTAACGAGTGTAGGCACCATTTCCTCATTAAATCCCACAGGTACATTACTTCGTGATTAGCTAGGTGGCATGTAGTGGGGTTAGCTATGAGTGCCACACTTCCAAGGACTTGCAAGACTGTTCTGACATGTTCTAAATGCTCATTCCAGGACTTGCTATAGAGCACAATGTCAAAATACACGGCTGCGGCCTGGTCATGAAGATGAAGCAAGTCATCTATGGGTCTTTGGAAGGTGGCTCCTGCACCCTATAGACCACCTAGGATAGTGTTGCCTGATTTATTGTTTATGGATTAATTTATAGATTCAGTTTGCACTTTGTCATTTGGTAGTTTCTTGTCCCAAGACCAGGTCTAGTATTATCCAAAGTACTACTATGGGAGCCACGTGGAGCACAGCAGTGACAACACTCAGATGCAGGAAAGCCCTTCTGTAACTGCAAACGTTTCATTATTACAGTTATCCCCAAAAAAATCCAAACATGAACAATGAGATGAGACAGCACTGCTAGGATGCTATTTTTACTCTTTTATACTCACTCTGTCCTTGGGGAAAGCTCTAACTGTTGAGACAGATCCTAATCCAGCTCTGGCCTGCCAAAGAAAAATGCCAGTGGTTATACCTGAGACCAGATATTTTACAGGCCGTGATGTCTCTCGTGCATATGTATACATAGCTCTTCCCTTCTTTACCATATCTTAACTTCTCCATAATAGTGGGATGTCATTAGCCTGTAGTTAGTATGTTAATTAGGCAAAGCTCATTACGATATATATTAATTAGATGACTATGGTAACCTGAGGTTGAGCATATTCCCCTCTGAATATACTCTAAACTGCCTTCTTGCAGTTAGTTACCAATCAGCTGTTTGTCACATTTATAATTAAAGTCTTATGCCGTCTTGTTACTTAATGTCACTATTAGTTTACTTATTTATGATAATGTGTTGAGCACTCTTCTACTCAAGCCATAAGGCCTTATACTAATTACTCAAGTTATTCTTCTATGTCTTCTCTTTCCGACTTTTGCTATCAGTTCCTTATCCCTTTATCCTATTATGATTACTGCCGTAATTACTATGTGGCTACAACTGTTTTAAGTTGATATAAGCCAAATAGTATGTAGAAATCTGTCTTTCTTTTGGGAGGAGGGGGAACTCCAGCCTTACAGGGATCTGCCAATAAACCCTGGTCAGGTCAAGAGCTGTGACATACCTGATTTCTCCTAATCTCTCTAACAACTTGTCAACCCTTAGCATGAGGCAGGCATCTAATTATGACACTGCATTGACCTTCTAGAAATCTGTGCAAAATCTGGTAGACCCATCCTGTTTAGATGCGAACACTATAGGGCTTTGCCACTCATTATGTGACTCCTTGACTATCCCAAGGTCTAATCTAGCTTGCATTTCTTTCTGTATTGTTTCCCACCTATGTTTCAGCAATGGCCAAAAGTTCTTTCTCACCTTTTCTCCTGGTTTGATCTCTATGTGATGGAACACTGGGCGAGTCTCTCTTGGAACTGTGGAAAAGACTAGGTGAATTTTTGGATCTGATGCTTTTGATGCACCTTCAGATCTTCTTCCCTTGGGACTTAGTTGGAACCCAGGACTATATTGCTGAGCTACAGTTCTGGAGCAAATGACCTTACCAGGAGCTCTTCCCAATCTTTCTACACCTCTACTGGGTTGACATAATACACCTTAGTATCTATTCTCTTGCCTTATAGTTTACTCCTCTAATTAGTCTGTTTATTTCAAAGGGACCTTCCCATCTGACCAACCATTTGGATTCTGAGGTGCGAAGCAGGAGTAACACGTGGCCCCCTAGTTGGAGCTCCTGGTTATACACTTCCCTTATTATATGCTTGTGTTTGCCCCTGTTGCACCTTGACTAAATTCTCTCACAAACTCACCTAATATCTATAACTTCTCTCTCAGCTGCAGCATATATTGTACCCAGTCTTTGGTCCTGTAATGACATTCCTTCCATGTATCCTGAGAGAAGTCTAGTATTTCCCTTAGCTGTGTCCCAGGTCCTAATTCAAATGGGGAGAGCTCTGTCAATGCCTGAGGGATTTCATGGTCAGTGATGAAGTGTGACAGAAGTAACTGGATCCACTGGCAAAGTTCCAAGGCTACTAACTACTGCAGCATCCTTTTCAAGTATGTTCAATCTCTATTCCAGTCCATCAGACAGAAAGACACACTGATATTCTTAGGACTTTTATCTTCAACAGTCTACACAGTTCTCATATAACCTTGGACATAAAGTTGGTATCCTGATCTGGGATTGTTTCCCATGGACTCCCCACCCAGATAAACTCTTTACAAAACTCTCGGGCAAGGACCATCACCTCTGTTGAGCAGAGCAGAATTGCCTCACCAGAGCCATGTGGCATAGTCTAACATGACCAGTATGTGCTGGAACCCTGCTGCACTCTCTTTTAAGAGGTTCACCATGCCCATGTCAGTCCTCTCAAATGAGGTCCCCTACCACAGGCAGAGAATCAACTGGGCCTGGGATATGTTCCCTTCACTTGCCCACTAGCATTCTGGGCAGGAGGTGCAGTACTCTCCTACCTCCTGGTGAACACCTCCTCAATAAAAACAAAGTGTCACTTGGCAGAATGTTGTCTCCTGACCAACGTGTCTCCCATGGGATTTTTAGAGTGTGCCATGCAGATCTCTTCAACATGGCTCTGCAACCTCAGCTGCACCTTTTTCATGGGGTAAGGATACATAGCCCCAGGATGCACTGCAAATACATACATTCCACGAGGAGTAACGGTAGTTCAGACTAGGAAGCCTAGTCCAAACTACCTAGTTCGTGCCGCGTGTAGCCGCGCGGCACGGGGTTCGAACGAGCAGGGATTTAAAAATGGCAGCGCCCAGTTTATGCAAATGAAGCCCGGGAAATTCAAATCCCGGGCTTCATTTGCAAGTGAGGTATGCCTACATTACCCCGCTAGTTCGAACTAGGAGGGTAGTGTAGACATACCCTTAGAGACTAACAAAAGTATATATAGTGTCATGAGCTTTCGTGGGTAAGACCCACTTCATCACTCCAACTCATCTGAGGAGGTGGGTTTTACCCTCGAAAGCTCATGATTATATTGTTAGTCTCTAAGCTGCTACAGGACTACTCATTGCTTTTAAAGTAGGTCCCCCCAGAGGGAACATGTCAGCTGCTGCTGAGAGGCAGGGTCTTTGTGGCACAATATTGTTCCAGCACTCCCTTAGCCTTAGCATGGGACCTGTAAAACTCCATCAGAGCTCATCATCCCACAGTGCCCAGTGATTCTCCAGCCTCTAAGCATTCCAGTCACTGTGGCTCTTTCCCCCCAAAAACACACACACACGCTTCTTTTCCCCCCTTCTCTCGTAGTCTATCCCCTGTTCTCACACCCTGCAATTGGCTGATTGCTGAGTGGGGAGTGAAGACACCCCGGATATTCTAATGAGAATATCTGGCAATGAGAATATCCGGGGCGTCTTCACTCCTCTCTCCACCATGTCTTCTGCTCATTGACTGGTGTCCATGCTGCAATGTTAAAAATTGTGGCGGGGGGAGGTGGACTGCATGCAGACCTACATATTCCAGCCATTGCGGCTCTTAGGGGGAAATGGTACTAAAAGCCTGACTGGGGCAACAATAGTGGTAATAGGAAGCAGAGTTTGGGGCTCCTCCTGGGATTTGTTTGGTTTTTGTTTTGTTTTTATGGTCTGGAGAAAGAAGCAGATCTTGCCTTGCCCTGTGAGACTCTGGCTGAACCTGACTTCCCACTTCTCACAGCAGAGTGTGTTCCCAGCAGCTGGCTGGCTCCCTCCAGGGAGGACATCCGTGGGGACTGTTCCTGTTTCCCTACCCTTCCAGCCACTTGCCTTCCTGAGGCTGATATGATTGTTTCCCTGGGTATAGCACAAAGATGCCAGCAAGGAACGGAAGCCTCTCATGCTTCAGCAATTTATTAAAAAGAAAAGGTTATTGAACTTGGACGTCGTTGAGCCAGTGGTTCTCTTTTCCTGATATGGGAGATAGCCTATTCACAGACAATTTGTCCATCCACAGGGGGACAACAGGCATTCTCTGGCCATTGAATTACCCTCCTCCTATGTGAATGTCCTGGCTGTGAGGAGAAAATGTCTAGGTGTGCAACACTTTTTGCCCTCGCCTGATATAGTGGGAGCCTTAGAACCCATGTGGCTTCGCCCACTCACATATTCTGCCTGTACACTTGCCCTACCTATCAAGGTGACATAGGCCCAGTTTCTGGAGCAGTGGGAGCTCAGTGGGGTTCGGTTTATATTATTTTCACAAATACTAAGTCCTCCCTAACTGTGCACAATTCATCAGAGCAAGTGCAAGTACTTGTGAACTTGTGTCACTCTCCAGTGGCGGGAGTCCTGAAAAGGAGGAGCTAACCCTCATCCTAGTGCCAGCCAATGGAGAATCTTCTTTAGCTGAAGAAGCAGAAGGTCCAGAGTGCTATGTATGGGTATTCAAGCGAGGGATGTAAACACTGGTTTAAAAAGGTAACTGCATAACTGCTAAAAATCCTAGTGGTTACATGCTGCAAGCTCTGCAGTAGAAAGCTTATTGAAGCTTATTGAAGCTTTCTACTGCAGAGCCCGCACTGAAGACTTGCTCCCACGGAGGCTTCACTGCCACAGAGAAGCCACTTCTCTGGGAGCAGAGCCAGCAGGGGCTGCTGGGCGCACGCCTGGGAAGGAGGCTTTGCTCCTGGGGAGGCTTTGCTGTGGGCTCTGCAACAGGTGCCAGCATGTAACCTGCAATGGGGGGGCCAGGCAGGGCACATTGTGTAACCTGTGGTGGGTCTGTGACGTAGTGGGGGGTACCTTGCTGGTTGCTATGCTGGGCAGTAGGTTGTGAGTGACCCCCACTGGCTGCTGGCTGCAGCACAGCCCAGCAGGGCAGGGGATGAATCATTATGCCAGGGGGCTTCCGAACCTGTCCGACCAGTATCTCCCAGGGAGCAGAACAATGGGAGAGTGGGAGTGGAGCCCTACCTGGGGGAAGGGCAGAGGTCTACTCCTATTGTCTTCTCTTGGCTTCTGGCAAGCAGAGGTTTAAAACTGTCGTACACATGGGATTGCATCCCTGGCCATCTTGGTTAATTGACATAGATGGACCTGAATGTATCTAATTCTTTTTTGGCCATCACAAGATCCCATGAAAATAAATTTCACAGTGTAATTGTGTATTGTGTGAAAAAGCATTTCCATTTGTATTAAACCTACTGCTTATTAATTTCATCGGCTGACCCCTGGTTTTTGTAATTGTGTGAAAGGGTAAATAGTAGTTCTTTATTCAATTTCTTCCGGGCCATTCAGGATTTTAAAGACCTTGATCATATCCCTCCCTTAGTCAACTGGCTGCTGGAGTCTGTTCGTGCCATTATAGGGGTGCAGGAGACGGGAAACCCCCAATGCGCCATCACAGAAGCGTGCCGCGGCTGCTAATGAGGGAATTAGCGCCACGGCCGCAGCCGCGCCAGGCCCCGGAGCTAAAGTGCAGGCACGTCAGCAAGACGCGCCGGGGAGGGGCGCTGACGTCAGCAGCGCGCCCGAGAG